CTGTGGGACGACGTCCACTAATAGAAATCGTATTTTATTTTGTAAAAATCCCAATACAGTTTCGATTAGGACGTTTCTCAAAATCTTTAATATTTCATCCACAAATCAACCAATTACTTTCAGTGGCTTATTTATAAGACCAATAAATATCTATTACCAAATGTCAAACAGAATCAACGCCAGTACTTGCACTTGCGTTTGGAGGTGTTGGCTTTATCATCACACTTCTCATTCTTGACTGTATGTTTCCCGTTGCGCTGTGAGAGTGAGTGTGAGCTTCTGTTTCTGCGCCGGATATAAACCAATTAGTCGGTTGATGCGGTTGCGATGAAAACACTTTATAATGAACTATGGAGTGGACGGGTTCTCTAGTGGAGCCTAGCCTCAACAGGCGTAGTATTGGACGATATCTGGCCAGATGAAGTTGGCGGCTGGTAGGTAGCTACTTGTCATCATGCCGTGTGGCATGCCCTGATGGGCCCTACGTTCACCGTTCAGCAGTGAATTGCTATAGGTTGATGTGATGAATTATGTGTACGTGTACAACAGAAATGAATCTAGTACTCACACTTGCGTTTGGAAGTGTTGGCCTCGTCATCACTCTTCTCATTCTTGACTGTATGTTTGCCGTTGAGCTGTGAGAGTGTGAGCTTCTGTTTCTGCGCTGGTTCCAGTCCGAGTAGTCGGTTGATGCGGTTGGACCTATGTCCAGCAGTGGACTGCTATACTTACACTTGCGTTTGGAAGTGTTGGCCTCGTCGTCGCTCTTCTCATTCTTGACTGTATGTTTCCCGTTGAGTTGTGAGAGTGTCAGCTTCTGTTTCTGCGCTGGTTCCAGTCCGAGCAGTCGGTTGATCCGGTTGGACCTATGTCCAGCAGTGGACTGCTATACTTACACTTGCGTTTGGAAGTGTTGGCCTCGTCGTCGCTCTTCTCATTCTTGACTGTATGTTTTCCGTTGAGCTGTGAGAGTGTTAGCTTCTGTTTCTGCGCTGGTTCCAGTCCGAGCAGTCGGTTGATGCGGTTGCGGTCGGGCGCCGGGAAGTGCTTCTCCACCAGGCTTTGGAACACGCCCCTGGACAGAAGAAAACAATGGGTTAGACCGCCTCAAAATGATTTAAATATCTTTTTATTCCCCGTGTATACGTTAATGTTTTTAACTTTTACAAATATAACTATCTACACAGACAACAAAAGATATAATTTATTAAGTAGTTAATGAAAGTTTATGAGATATTTTGAACCTTATGCTCTTTTGACTTCAATTGTACTACACACGTATATCACGCTTATACTCATTTTGTAGGTAAACGGCTATGAAAACGGTCATTTACACCACGTCTGACAAAAGTAAGACATATACATGTCGGCCTATCGCCTAAAATTGCAATACACATCAACTTTCAAATCCCTTAGTCGCTTCTTACGACACACATATACATACAGAGATATATGGGGTGATGCTATTCTAAGCCACCACACGGCACACGGTTGATTTGTGCAGTGGAAAGTGTCATGTCATAATATCTTAAGAAAGGAAGATACCGAACGATGGACTTTCCCAAAAACGATATGATCTACCCGTTACGCTGAATAACTTTTACTAAGAACAAAAGGTCAAAGTCAAAGTACAAAAAATATTGGACCAGCGATACATATTTCTTAAGAGAAAATTGTTCCTATTTAATTATTGAGCTTAGCGTATTCGAGAAAGTCCGTAGTTCGACACTTCTCTGTATACTTATTAACGTAAGTATCTCGTATTAAAGAAAAATAAACTTAATACCCGCGGTATGTATGTAGTATTCTTTTATTTATTCAGTATGTACTAACTAACACGTTAAATTTTTATACCAATAAAATAATCTACAAAATTTATATTAACAGTAATTTTCTCTTGCATAAAACTAGGTATTTCTAAAGTACTGATCTTAAAATACAGTATTTCCAAACCAAAACATTCTTTAGCAAACAACTTTAAACAAAATAAACCAAACCGGAACGTAATCGAACGCGCGCCACAATTCAAATCTCCCGCCATTCGCGCGAGCGTCGCAATATTGAAACCCTACTGAGCGAGGCCGCGCCGCCGTTCATTCACCCCGGCCGCCATTACCTGCTCCGACCGCCTGCATCGCGACACGCAAACAGTACACGGACTCAGCGCCCAACTACACATGCGCTATACAAACCGTCTTCTATTTTGTGCCAACATCGATTTGGTGAGCTGATATTACGCAGTGTTATTTTCGTGTAGGTTTTGTTAATGTGCAATTTAAGCTAAAACTTGTGTTTTGTTTTAGGTTATGTTGACGGATCGCGAGTAAAACAAAATAAAGCATAACAAAAGTGTTTTGAAGAATATTCTTGTAATATGGTGTTGGAATCGTGAACAATGAGTACGAAGACAGATTTAAAGAATAACTTGGAAGAAATTTGCCCTTCAGCAAAGTTTATAAGATTCGATTATGCATCCCCCGAGAAGTTTCGCATAGAAATAAAATGTCAGGTGGAAAAAGATCAATCACTGGAATTCTATACAGAATATATGAAAATTTGGATTACAAAGTTTTCAAAATTCACCGCGTCAGGTTGGATAGTTCGGCATACATTTTCAAAAATGAAAAGACTAGTGTTTCGGAAAATATTTGTATGTCATCGGTCTTCGTTCAATAAGAAAAAGGAAGTAAGCAAAGAGACACGAAATCAAGAATGCAGAGCGAAGATAGACTTCAAAATAAAATTTATAAACAAAAACACGATGAAAAACGATATATATCTAAAGGACGGGCTGAACTTGAACATAATCATAGACTTTATACATTCTCACAAAGTGCGGACTGCCGAATCATACCACTTGTTGAGAAACATGCCCGATACGGAAGAGTATTTCATGAAGTTTTTTGAAATGGGGTGCTTCGTGGCAACTATAAAGAAGTACCAGGAATTATCGCTAATCGACAAATACGGCGAGAACTGCCCAGAAGTGTTTGAGAACGCCACTGTGAATCCTTCCACAAGTCAGCTTTTTTATTTGCAAAAGAAGAAAAATATAAAGCCGTTAAGCCCGCGCGTAGTTTTGGAAGCAAAACGGGAGAGTTTGAAAGAGTCTGATGTAGATATAGTTTTATCAGACACGGAAACTAGCTTGATTGTGACCCCTGTGATGAAACGAGCTATAGTAGAAATCGGTTTAGAACACGTGATTGTTGACAGCACGGATGTACCAAACGGGGCGACAGCGACTTTCATCCTTATTCCCACTACCATAGGAGCTATACCAGTTGCGTGTGTTTTACACGGCAAATACGAACTGAATAACGCTTTACAGTTGACGAAATCTCACATGGAAATGCTTACAGAACAAGAGTTTTCTCCAAGAGTGCTGGAGATAGATCATTTTGAAAACAATGTAGTACTGCCATCACAAAAAACTGTTGCGTCCCGATATTTCGTTTGCAGTGAAATATGGAGGTGGATTACCAATGATGATAACAAAATTGAACGCAAGAAACGACACCGCATTATGCTCGCGATAAAACGTCTTATCGATGCCGAAAGTCCTGAATCAGCTGAAACGATTTACTTAGAACTACAAAGCAATGAAAATTTAGTTTCAAACCCAAATTTGAAAGAGTACTTGAACCTCTTGTGGGAAAAGAAAGAACAATGGATGCTTTTTGATAATCCGTTTCGGTACAAGGAACTTATTGACTTGTCGATAAGGTTCCTAAAAGAATTCATAACAAATTGTTGCAAGTCGTTCAACGTACCACTTATGGTTGAATTTATTACGAATATACTGGAGAATCATTACAAAAAGATAATCGCAAGCTATGTAAAGAAAAGTAAGTCTGTAGCTGTATACACGAAGTTTTTAAAAAAAGCGGGAGTCGTTTTGAATTTTGGATCGGAAGTACGGCGAATCAGCGCAAATGAATTCAGTGTCGAAACACAAGCGAGATCAAAGAAATACATTAACTTTCGGACAGACACTATGTGCTGCAACTGCAGTCAAGGAAGGAAAGGATATTTTTGTATACATCTTAGTGCTATCGTCAATATGGTTGATTGCGATGTGATGAAGTCTCCAGTTCTCACAGAAGAAGAAAGAAATATGTACACGAGAATTATTGGCGGTGAGATCGAAGACGAAACAAAACCAGAAATTAATAATGGTAACAATGATTTAGACGACATTGGAATATCCAATGATTTTGATGACGATTACGATAACGACGGTGAATTACAATCGCGTGGTTCCAGTCCAAAGGAAGAAATATTTGATGCCAATGACGATGATTTCTTAGTTGAGATCAAGACTGAAAAGCTAGACAGATACGACCCATTAGATGAAACTGTCGTGCAAGAGGTACTTATTCCAACCGAATCGGCCACAGCACAAATTATACCAATAGAATTGCCAACAACATCTAAAGGGTCAGATATGAAGGCTACGTACGAAACAGTTTTAAAAGCGGTCAATGATGAATTTAGAAGACTGAACAGGTTTTTCAGCGAGAATCCTAACAATTCCAACTTGGAAACCATGAAGCGGCTAGCGAGAGAGCTTAGTAAGATAAGACCAACAGAGAAGATTAATTTAGAAAATATGATTTTAAAACCTAATAGAAAGAGAAAATTGGATACTGACTGTTAGTTATCATATTGTTACTTTTTGATTACAATTTTAAAAACAGAATTGTTTCTTTAATTTGGGAATTAGATTAAGTGTATTGTTTGTTGGTATACTGCAGGGTGGAACCTATCTAGCACAGCAAAAATTACAGTGTTGTGTATTGTTGGTATACTGCAGTGTGGCACCTTTCCCTGCTTTTCTCAAGTGAAATGTCGGGCTGACTTAACTCGCAACACTTGTAGTAATAGTGGCTTGTCTTTTGCTTTCTTGAACGTGAATGTCGAGCTCGAACCTCTGGCAATGTACTTAAACACTCTAGGACGTAGTATAAATTGAAAATGAGAAAATTGTTTAATACATTAGCAACCGCCGGGACTTGAACCCGGGACCGTGGAGTACCGTCCCACTGCTCTGCCAGCCAACTGAGCTACGGGCGCCTGACAGACACTGATTTATTTTTAACCTCTTGATCCTCGTCTCGAAGCAACGATTTATGAGAATAATATAGCACTGTGAGTGCATTAAAAATCCCAATACATAGGACGGAAGTATAGTTTGAAAATAACTCGATATCTTACTTGGCGGTGGAGACGAAGTCGGTGAGCTCGCCGTCGTCTCTCTCCAGCTGGTCCAGGGTTCGAGCCTCGCCCGTGCTCTGCAGACCGATCACCACGCACTTGCCGCATTTGACAGCTTCCCGCGCTGTCACCACGGCGTGGTTTACCTATTGGAAACACAAAAATGATAAAACATTACGGTCGTCCAAATCAAAAGGGACCTTATGGCGGTAACTAGTCTTCTTCTTCGAGTGGGGTGGGACACCAAGTTGTCCAATGACCCGATGAACCCTGGTGTCAGAGTTTTTCAACCGCCAACCGACATGGTTATTATTTAAAAATAACTCAAAACAAGCTGATGTATTAAAATACAAAAACCCGACTGCGGTAATTACAAAGTTGTATTTTGCGATAAAAATCCGCCATCTTGACTTTATGAATTTTTAATATAGCCAGTGTCACTTGCGCTGCTGAGACAAATCTAACGACACCTCATATGTCAAAATCCAACTATCCGTTTGGGCTGTAGCCCGTGAAAAAGATTTTTCTTGTCCACATACATACATACATACTCTCGAAAAACATAACCCTCCTTCGGAGACAGTCGGGTAAAAATAGGTTTTAAACTTTTTGTATTTTTGAATAGATGAATCAATTTACTGCTAGTGGATGTGTACAACTTTTCGATACGTCAAATAAAAAAAAAACCTGCAGCTAGCCATAAAGTTGAGTAAACTTTACCGCCATAAGGAACGACCACAATTTACTCGATTCTGGGTAGCCTATTAGAACTGATTTCTATCTAACGCAAGGTCTAAAATTGTCTATGATTTCAGAGCCATTTCTTACATACAGACCAGCAAAATAGAGAAGAAATTAAATAAAATGGAACTAAAAATTTTTCATACTAAATTGTTGCCATTTGCCATTCATAGTCAATGTTGCCATTTAATTTTGAAATTTCATACAAAGTGGCGCCCTCATTTTTTGTCTACTCTTTTTTGCAGCACTGTAGTTTACCCGTTACTTGCTTTAGCCGCAGTGCAAGATATGCACAGGTGTTTAAAAAACTTCTGCGTCTCTCAGCTCGGCCGCCTTGCATCGCTTGCGTCCACTATAGTACGATCATTCAAATACGCCATATTTGACAGCTGTCAAACCCATACCAGGAACATGTCAACAAAGAAAAATAGACCTTATGACCCGTCAAATATGGCCTATTCGATACCGTACTATAGTGGGCAGTGGACAGTATGACTCACTTTAGCCGCGATGCACAGGTACTTGAAGAACCTCTGATGCGCGGACCAGAACTGCCCCCACATGGTCTTCTTCATGTCCACTAGTGGGCAGTGGACAGTGGGCAGTAGGACTCACTTTAGCCGCGATGCACAGGTACTTGAAGAACCTCTGATGAGCGGACCAGAACTGTCCCCACATGGTCTTCTTCATGCGCGACTCCGCGTCCACTAGTGGGCAGTGGGAAGTGGACAGTGGACAGTAGGACTCACTTTAGCCGCGATGCACAGGTACTTGAAGAACCTCTGATGCGCGGACCAGAACTGTCCCCACATGGTCTTCTTCATGCGCGACTCCGCGTCCACTAGTGGGCAGTGGGAAGTGGACAGTGGACAGTAGGACTCACTTTAGCCGCGATGCACAGGTACTTGAAGAACCTCTGATGGGCGGACCAGAACTGCCCCCACATGGTCTTCTTCATGCGCGACTCCGCGTCCACTAGTGGGCAGTGGACAGTATGACTCACTTTAGCCGCGATGCACAGGTACTTGAAGAACCTCTGATGCGCGGACCAGAACTGCCCCCACATGGTCTTCTTCATGCGCGACTCCGCGTGTACTAGTGGGCAGTGGACAGTGCACTTGAAGAACCTCTGATGGGCGGAACAGAACTGTCCCCACATGGTCTTCTTCATGCGCGACTCCGCATCCACTAGTGGGCAGTGGACAGTGGACAGTGGGCAGTATGACTCACTTTAGCCGCGATGCACAGGTACTTGAAGAACCTCTGATGGGCGGACCAGAACTGTCCCCACATGGTCTTCTTCATGCGCGACTCCGCATCCACTAGTGGGCAGTGGACAGTGGACAGTGGGCAGTATGACTCACTTTAGCCGCGATGCACAGGTACTTGAAGAACCTCTGATGGGCGGACCAGAACTGTCCCCACATGGTCTTCTTCATGCGCGACTCCGCATCCACTAGTGGGCAGTGGACAGTGGACAGTGGGCAGTATGACTCACTTTAGCCGCGATGCACAGGTACTTGAAGAACCTCTGATGGGCGGACCAGAACTGTCCCCACATGGTCTTCTTCATGCGCGACTCCGCATCCACTAGTGGGCAGTGGACAGTGGACAGTGGGCAGTATGACTCACTTTAGCCGCGATGCACAGGTACTTGAAGAACCTCTGATGGGCGGACCAGAACTGTCCCCACATGGTCTTCTTCATGCGCGACTCCGCATCCACTAGTGGGCAGTGGACAGTGGACAGTGGGCAGTATGACTCACTTTAGCCGCGATGCACAGGTACTTGAAGAACCTCTGATGGGCGGACCAGAACTGTCCCCACATGGTCTTCTTCATGCGCGACTCCGCGTCTATCAGCTCGGCAGCCTCCGTGAACCGCTGCATCGCCTGCACCCACTGGTGGAATCAAATATACAAATACGTCATTTATTATCTAAAATCATATACAGGGTTATTTTTTAGTCAGTGCGCAAACTTTGCAGGATGTTTCTACTCGTTATTCTGAACAATTTTTACTATGGGGCTACCTGCAAAATATAAAAAAGTTTTTGGTTTTTCTATACATTTTTGCCGAATAGGTATGAATTTTTCTATGGAACATCCAAATTTTTTTTGTGCATTCGCAGGTGGTCCCATAATAAAAGTTGTTCAGAATCACGAGTAGAAACACCCTGCAAAGTTTGCGCACTGACTAAAAAATAACCCAGTATCTATCTAAAATCATGCAATATTGTAGATGGGCGGACTTAATTCCGAGGTCAGTTAGCAAAGTCGAAGTCAAAACATTTATTTCTTAGTAAGAATTTACAAGATTCTCTTTAAAAAAAGGCCAATTCAACTCCTCTGGAATATCTTTGTTATGGAATAAAAATAAAAAAAATGGAAGGTTCAACTTCTTTTAGAGTTTCTCAAGTTTTGATAAAGCTAACTAACTACAGGCGACAGATATAAAGATAATGCAAGTGAAGCAAACGAGACTTTTGTCACTTTAACATGATACGAAATATTAAAAAAATGTAAAACAATATAACAGTCAGTTAATCAATCAATCAATCAATGTTTATTTGCAAGAATACATGTAAATAAATAGATCTTAAAATTAGGTTCCTGTACAGTATTCTACTTATTATCACTAAAATTTATACAATACAAAATTACAAAGTGCGAGCGGTGCGAGCACCAAATTGAATGATATTTGAAAACGGGCGTAGTTTCAGCACAGACGAAAAGGCCCTCGCACTTCTTATTTTGCTCTTGATGAAGACACGGCACTGCTAAATATTTCATTAATAAATATGTGAACATTTGCATGCTTATAGTAATGTAGGCTAGATATGTGATACTGACCAATAATTTATAATTATAATTGTAAGAACCTTGTAAATGACCATATCTACAGCAAATATCTTTATCTTTATCTGCGAGCAGAATCAGCGACAGACCAATTAGTCGGCAGGCAAGCGTAGCTGACTGAGTTCGCTTGCTGACGAGCTTTACTAGCCGGTCTTGGTCCTGGGTCAGAGGGAGCAGCTGCCTAGAACCACTTACCAAGGCGACAGACTTGTCGTAGGTCTCCTTGAAGGCGTCCGAGAGCGGCACCTCCTCGATCTTGAACGACACGCCGTGGAAAGACAGCTGCCGCGCGATGTACATGCCTCGCAGCTTCATGTCCATTGCTACTATCTCCATAGCGCCCACACCTCTGTCAAATACAAATACTGGGGTTAGAAAGCAGTAATTAAGGTCTAAATAATTACGAAATTTTAGCCGCATTAATGAAGCCCACAAACGTAGGGAAATGGGTTTCCTCTACCTAGTTACCAAGCCAAACCATGTACCCATATTTATCGGCTCAGCCGCCTCGATAGCCGAGGCATACATCACTTTTGCTTTGCAAGTAGTTTTTCTATAACTGTTTAAGATATCAATAAGAGACTTACCTCTTTTCAACCGCATTGATGAAGTCCATAAACGTAGGGAAAGGGGTTCCCTCTCCCCAGATCCCAAGTCGGACCATGTAAGCCATATTTCTGGGCTCTGACGCGCCGGTAGCCGAGGCATAGACCACCCTGGCTTTAGGCAACTTGTTTTGTAGGTCTAGCGCGGTGAGTCCAGTTTTCGTGGGCTTCCCGGACCCGACGGGGCACAAGTTTTTCGCTTTGTGACACTCGTCGAATACGATCTGTGGTTTAGGAGTTGAGGAAATATTATGGGATCATTGCACTAGGAAAGGAATGGAAATTGATTCGATACCTTCGAAGTTAATAGATTGCTATTACATCCACTGTTCCCCGTTTTCTCGCTAACATATTTGACCACTTTATAGCCATAATAAAAAAGTGTAAGAAATATTAGAAACCACTCAGTACTTCCTTGGCAGAGTTCTGGTCTAAAAACATTTAGTAAACAGCTGCATTGATTAGCCGATATAACATTTTACCGATGAATCTATTACCCGACAAGTAGATTAATTGGACTATTAAACAAACATTTCTTTAAAATAATGTAGACATACAGATTGTTAATTTAAATGCGAGCAAGTAAGGTATAGTATCGATAAATCTTCAAATATTTCTCAAAACATAGTTGAACATAAAGAAAATAATAAAAGTG